CGGAAGACCGCCAACCTGAGGCGTGTTCGTTTACGCGGGTTGTGCCGTAGGTGGAGGATGTTGAGCCTGAGGTGTGTACTGTAACGCGGGCAAGAGACATAGCCTGAGGCGTATACTGTAACGTGGGCTAAGGAGTGTTGTGAAAGTGAGACGGTTGTTTATGCCGTAGGTGGAGGATGTTGAGCCTGAGGCGTGTACTGTAACGCGGGCAAGAGATATAGCCTGAGGCGTGTATTGTAACGCGGGCTAAGGAGTGTTGTGAAAATGAGATGGTTATATGTGGACCGTGGATTGAAAGTGGGCCTGAGGCGTGTACTGTAACGCGGGTCAGAAATGAATTGGATGCATGTGCTCGAGTGAAATGATAATCGTATGATGTTGTGTTTGTTAGGCGAATGTGAGAATGGAAAGTGTTCGGTCTATCGATGATACCTGTGCATACATTGGCCATGTTATGAGGATGAGTGTGTTTTGTGGTGACTGCATGTTATAATGATTGGACTAACGTGCATGGTGGTGCATGTGCCGAGGTAAGGCCAATGTGCTTGTGAATGTTATAGCATGTCAATTGCTGATTGATTGTGTGCTTGAACATGCCCAGAGATACGTGTTAGCCTAGGTAGGGTTTAGGGTGTTGCTTACTGAGAAGTGTTATCACGGTTTTATTTAAAACCATTTAGCTGATCGAAGTTTCAGCGAAGTCGGGAGACAAGGACAATCCAATTGAGATCAATGCCGAGTCCAACTCTTCAGAGGAACATACTGGCATCGACGAGACCGATTCTGAGTGGACCCCCTCTAGGGCGAATAGGGGTTAGTTAGAAGTTAGGGGTTGGACAATTTTTGGAGACGCCCCTTTTTGGTGGTAGTGTTAGTCTACCCGAAGTCGTTAGTCCTTTTTGATATCGGCGATTGTTAGTCTGGAGGTTTGGTGGTTGCGATGGTTTGTATTGAATTTTTGTGAATATAATGGGTGTAATGAAGTGGTTGGTTGCTAGTTGTGATGGATTTTAATGGATATTGTATATATCGCGGTGTAATATAGTGCTCGGTGGTTTGGTGATTTGTCTCTCCCTATTACCCCGTGATTATACTGTCAGGGTTTATATTCTTGTTTCCGCCGTGTTTGAACTCTGATGTGTTGGTTTAGGTCGGCGGCATTTCCTGGGACGTCGCACTAATTCGATCGATGAGGGATGTCGCGAGCTCCATGGGGTTCAGGGCGTGACAGCTAATCAATAAAGAGCCTGTCACCTTTTGTTACCATTCAAACCTTCTCTCTTTTTATGTCCCGATCGAACAAAGGCCATGGAATTGTTTGTCAAGCCATCAATTTGATTATATGCACAAACCTACTTGACATATATTTCAATGAGACATAAACTATTCATTCTCGGTTATAATCCTAGCCGATGATTTCAATATAATGTCATGATTATATCACATACGACATCATTATTGTATCTTGTATATAACAAGAAGACAAATTCCATATTGTGCAAGCATGTACCTTCATACATGAACAAATTATGACCATCAAGTACAGAGACGATTCGACGAAGTGTCAATATGTGCACTTGTGAACCACAATTATCCAAAATACAAGTCAACACCGTGCCTCAGGTATAAGGATTTTACACAAGACTAGAGCCTAAACGATTAGACATTGACCTCGCTAAAAACTTCTATGTTGCTAATCGTTCTGAGTATGTCATGTTCAGTGAACTTATCTGATACAAGCATCTGTGTTCTAGTTCGGGTATCACAATAACCAATGACTTGTGACTCATCATTCTCTTAGGTATCAAATACTTAATGGAGAAACTCGAGAACACACCCGTCTCAACAAGATCACCAATATCCTTTTAATAATCCACCGACTGGAACTATTTAAAGATTCAGTCTAAACTTTGAACCTATTACACATATCCTTAACACCTTAATAATAGGTCGGTTGCAATTGATCTTATGAATTCATTCATATAAATTGGACAATGAATGAATTTGTCTTAGTCATTAAATAATAAAACTGAAATCCCTAACATGTAACTATTACATGGTTGCTTTAGGGAATATAACCAACATTTGTCAGACGATTCAGGAGTCAAATCCCCTAGAAAATTCCTAAACTTTCACTTGAGAAACAAAGATATTATGATTTTTGGCAAAAGCCACAAAAAACCTCAAACGATGTCCATTGTGATACATTTATCCTAAATTTTTTTTCTGTGACACTAAAAATCCCATACTTATACTTGTGTGACACATTTACCCTTTGTCAATGAGCACCATTAAAAATCCACCTATGTGAACGCCGAAAAGTAAATTGTGTTGACATGGCACCACGTGACTTAAATGAAATAAAAACGACGTTGTTTTTATTGAAAAATCATTTGATAGAACCTTGAAAAAGGGTAAATGTGTTACATAGGTATAAGTTTGTGATTTTTTATGTCATAAGAAAAAATTTAGGGTAAATCTATCACAGTGGATATAATTTGAGGTTTTTGATGTCGCAAAAAAAATTCATGGTAAATTTGTCATAGCGGGCATACTTTTGGGCTTTTGGTGGATTTTTTCCTCTGATTTTTCAAAAGAAGAAAATCCGAACTTTTACTAGGGACACAAAATTGTTTTTCATCCAAGTAAGTTGATTAGGCAAATGAAGTGACTAACGATGTTGATGTGTACAAAAACATGTCAGCAATGGCCAAATGAGCGCACAAGGGTTTTTGGTTTGTTTTAGAGCTCTACGGGCTTGCTTTGTTATCTTTTGAGATTTCCTATGGATTCTATCATTTTGGTATTGAATAGAAATTTCTCTTGACAATCATACGTACACTATGATAGACGACTTTTGAAGAGGGAGCTTTTCTTCCCTAAATTGAGGGAAACAACCTTGAAGAGATAGTGAAATTTGAAATTGCTGACATAAACAAGGACCCGGAATTACTTGGTTGAGATAGTCATCTTCAATGTTCACAAGTCGGAAGAGGCAATTGTCACAAGGCTCATCTTCTTTCAATTTGTCAAAGTGAGCGGGATAATCTATAGATGAGTATGTGGGAGTTTTAGAAGCCATTGAAGCAGCATATGTGAGGGCGAACAAAGTTTTGTAGCTGATAGAAATCAGAAGGGAACGTTTTTAATTCAAGTGTAGGGACGAAAGTGCAATACAAATAAAAATCAAATCTTACTAAGCTTTTATACCCTTGGAAAAGAGGCGACTATTCAAAATGATGACCTACATATCAATGGCTTATAATGAAAATGGCATGTGAACAATATCGATTGAAGCAACGTGTCAAAGCATGATGAGGTGAAGAGGAGTAGCCATAAGAGCACAATGTACGAACCGTCAGAGGTACAATATGCATCCTGTACTATTCTGGAAAATAGTTTTTCGTACTTTTTCAAATATTTAAAAGAATTGAAAATCTCTTTTAAAAGGGAGCATATGTTTACACCAAAAATAAAACCAAGTCACTCTAATCAGCATGAGATCAATTTGAGTAAGTATATGACCCAAGACTAGGTGAGGTGGCTATCGGTGAGATAGCGACTGCATGGTCCTTATCGATGGCCATACTAGTCACAAGAGAACTTGTCGATGGTAATACTTATTGATGACCACGATTAGCTATCAATATATGAAAGCAGTTGGTTGACAATTGTCATAATAAAGTTGACCAAGTGCTAGGAAGGCAAAGATATCCAATTGAAAGACACCGATTGACAACTGGATAAGAAATTAATGGAAAACTAACTGTTTTGTAAGTAAAGTGGGGTGCGAAGTACAAGCATAGTGGCATTTGAATTTGAAATTGTTTGCGGGTAAGGCAATGGAGCACAATAGATCGTGATTAGACGATGAATTTGAAGGAGAAACAACCTGTATGAGAGTCAAGGCGGCAACAAATAAACGTGGAGAATCAAGATGCGACTTTTGAAGGAGTAATTGCCTGGAGATAAGATGTCATGGTGAAGTGAAGATATGGAGCTGAACACCTTCAAGATGTGAAGGCATGGTTGAAACTGCTAAAGAACTGCTCATGGACAGTTACACTGTAAATATTACAAGTAGGGATAAGAGCACCAGAAGTTTTAAAACTTAGCACAAAAGTATAATTGAGTGCTAAAACTTTCAAAAAGTGCAATTAACTTCTAAAACTTGTTTCAAAAGTGCAATTGAGTCCTAAAACTCTCAAAAAGTGCAATCAAATCCTAAAACTTGTCACGAAAGTACAATTTAGTAGTAAAGCTTTAAAAAGTGCAATTAACGGAATGACTTAGTTGGACTAATTTGACAAATTTTAAGACTTGATTGTACATTTTGAAAGTTTTAGGGTTCAACTGCATTTTCATGACAAGTTTTAGGACTTAATTGTACTTTTGAAAGTTTTAGGACTTAATTTGCATTTTCGTGACAAGTTTTTAGGGCTTCCAATGTATTTATCCCTTATAAATACTAGTACTTGTGCATGGTAAGAACCCCCAAACAAACAAACAAACAAAATTTATCTTTCCATTATCTTTAAATTTTTGTATCATAGTTGTAGTTTCCAAATATCTCGTCGTCGATTAAATCCTGACGTTTATCTTAATTGTAGCTCTCAGATCTTCGTCGTCAATTCAATTCCGGTGTTTATCTCTCTATCCTTTCGCTCTGTCGCCAATTAAATTCTGACCAAGTATTATGCACTTTGATGTTGATCAAATTCCGTCGGAATACATCCATCGCGGTTTCCTTGCGCTCGAGCGATGTATCCAATCTGGAATCGCCATAGAATCCATCTCCCCTTACAAAAACCAAAAAATCGACTTCCCGGTGAAAGGTATCCCCTCGTCGAAACAAATTCCGACGGAACAATTACAAATCAAAAACAATTATGGTCTTCCCCTACAGCTAAGACATCTCAATAACAAAATTCATTTAAAACTTGGTTCTAATGGAAAAGACAAATAAATTTCTTTTCCACTAAGCGAAACAGATCTCTTCACTTTCAAGCCCTAAAGCCAAGAATAACAAGAAGTAGTCTCCGACGGACCCCCAAAACACTCGCAAAATCGACACAACTCACACTCCTCCGCCCCTTTCTCTACAGGCCATTACCAGGAAACTTCCCGTCTCTTCCCCCTCGACTCCTCCTTCTTCAACCCTCGCCGCACCAATGGCCGCCGCCGCCGCCGCCGCCGCCGCGGGGAGCGCATCCCCCGACAACCTCGAATCGGAGCCGCAATCGCCGCCGCTCTCCGCCTCCGGGGTCACCGATTTGAACGCCTTGCCGAACGAGCCGAACGAGCCCATGGACGCATCGACCGACGGAGCAGGAAGTGAGCAGTACACTGAGCCGCCTCAGGCGGAGGCCGACCAATTGGCTCCTTCGGCTCCTCAGGCCGCCGCCGCCGCCGAAGCTGATAAGAGGTGGCCGGGATGGCCTGGCGACTGCGTTTTTCGCCTGGTCGTGCCTGTTCTCAAGGTCGGGAGCATCATTGGTCGCAAAGGGGAGCTTATCAAGAAGATGTGCGAGGAGACTCGCGCTCGCATTCGCGTGCTTGACGCTCCTGTCGGCACTCCCGATCGGATTGTAAGTTTCCTAGGGTTTGCTCTTTCTGCTTTCCGATTGGAGTTTGTTATTCTGCAGTTGGCCTGTTCAGTGTTGTGGGTATTCTCTTTCGTTTACTGGGTTTACTCGTGTTGAGCGAGTTTGGATTGAAGACATCTAGTTCTTTCGGAATCGTTGGGGTCAGGAGGGAAAGGAAAACTGAACTAGGGTTCTTTGGCTACACTTTTAGGGCTATGGATTTGATTTATTTGCTTGCTGTGCTGTTACTCGTTCTTCACGTGTCATTCACGTCTTCTAGTTTCTGTGGTGATTGACGAAAGAATATCTTGATGGCAATTTTAGTTCTCAACTTCATAAAATCTGCATCTAACATCATATTTGGGTTGATGAATAGTTTTTGGATTACAGATTTGCCCCAAATGCTATAGCTTTTCTCCGGTTTGGTTGAGAAGATTAACCACTTAGTTGCTTTCCTGTCCATTCCTCTGCTTATTGCGGACCCGCTTTTTAAATATATCCCCTTACCGGAATAGCTAATCTCTCATCTTTCAACATCTGTCCTTCTGAAACGGTCCTCAACTTTTCCTTAAAAATTTGCAATGTGAGCTTGATTAGAGTCCCATCAGCCTATAGTTCTATTGCTGTTCATTACATTGACAATTGCAATCATCATCATAGCCTCCAGCTTTCTGTTCTTCAATCACTGTTCATTGCTTGCCATTCTGGTTATGAAGCATGTCATGTATTGAATTGGTGAATTTGAGGCCTAGGGTTCTTATAATTTGATTTCCAGCTCATAGCTAATAGCCTCATAGTTATCCAACTCACGGATAAGTAACTGGAAAATATTGTAGAGAAATTGGGCAGAACCTAAAGAAGTGACTTTGTGGAGAGATAATCAAAGTTGAGTGACTTGGTATAAAAATAAGACGAACCAGTAAGGTACATGAAAGTGGGGGCAAAGTTGGATGAATACAAAACTAATTTACCCTCACATATCCTTGCTTCCGCTATGCATGTGAACCAAGTAAATAGAGAATGCTATAAATAGTGGAATACCTATTCTATTACTATCCTTCTATATTCTAACCCAGAGGAACAGTTATCCTCTTCTGGATGCATTCCCTTGCATAAGTCAAATATGACCTTAGTGGATAAAAGAAAGCTTATGTGGAAGTAGGCTCTACTTATTCGTGATAGGAACTAGCAGTTAGATTGTTGACATTTTTAATTTCTATTTATCTTCAATGTCAAAACTGATGCACATTCCTGAAAATGATTTGGGTTTTCATATATCCCCACATTTTTGGAGTCCATTGTAAAGAACTCCCATAGTATCACTTTGCATCTTGTAGTACAACATGGCTTTGTACCTGTTTATTTGGTTTTTGTTTCAGAAATAACTAGAGACAGTGGCAGATTTCTTTGGATTATTGCCTGACAATTTGATTGCCATGATTCCATTGCTTTGTCTTCCTCATTTGTTCTATTATATTTTGTTGTATGACTGCAGTACTCCATTTTCGAGCTACTTGCGTCCTGTTATGAACCAATTTTTATTGTCTGTATTCTGCTTCAACTTTGAGATTTCTGAAATGCGGACCATGGCAAATTTTGCTAAGGAAAGTACTTTTCCCCAATCTTGCCTTTGCTATATATTGTTTCACAGGTATTGATATCTGGAAAAGAAGAGCCAGAGGCGCCACTTTCCCCGGCAATGGATGCTGTAATAAGAGTTTTTAAACGTGTCTGTGGACTGTCCGAGAATGAGGGTGATGCTAAGTTGTCTGGAGCTGCTGGAGTTGCATTTTTGTCAATTCGGTTCTTGGTGGCCTCCACTCAAGCAATAAATCTGATCGGAAAGCAAGGTTCACTAATTAAATCGATCCAAGAGGGTACTGGAGCTTCTGTTAGAGTATTACCAGAAGGTAAGCTTTTTATATTTGTGCACACTTCTGAATTTTAGACGGTGCTACCTTTGTCGTGACTTACGTTGATAAATGGAAACCAGCAAAAAAAAATTACTTGATAATTATGACCGTGTGTTTTATTTGGCATTTCAATCTTAGGTCCAGATGTACTCGTTGCTCTCTTTAAAAAATCTGGAATAAAATATCTTGAATATGTGTTGAATATGAAACATAGCTGCTAAAATTATTCGTAATTTAGAAGCATGAAGTCATTTAGGGATGTTAAACAGAGGATAATTTGGTTTGGGTGAAGAAAATAGAAGAACACTTAGCTGATTTGAAATGTGCAATTGATGTATCTAGCATCCAGATCTTCCCGATCTTGTCAAGGGGACATCTGTTGCAATTACAGCAGGAATGGTGGTAATCATAATACAGAGTAGAGACAAGCAATTAGAAGTTTTTGGATTTTCATTTTGTTCGACTCAGGTCTCAATGCCATTATATAGAAGGATTATAGTGGTACCAATCGCATCTCATCTGTCTATAGGTTTCATTTACCATTTTCTTGTGTCTACACTGGCCTGGTTTTGATCTTGAGTTTGTTCCTTGGGTCAAAGGTTACTGTTTTTCTAAGAAAATGAACAATTTATTCATTTTGCACAAAATGTCTTGCTTCTTAGTTTGATAGGCTTCATTTCAATATTTTTTGTTTGCTCATTCACCGATGTGCCCTGCCAAAGTGGTCCTCTCTTCCCTCTCTTTTGGACCTCTCCCAACACCTGAATTATTGGAATCTTGTGTTTTAGGAAGCTCTTCTGGTGGACTGAGTGAAGTGGTCTAGTCAAATGTTTCGTATGAGGAAGCAATCTGCCTCCTTGGTCTTTTATTTGCATTTTCAAAACTTTGAGTTTGATCTTGTAGAGATTATAATCCCAAGGGTAGTTTACATGTATTTACTTAGTAAATGGCTGAGGAATATACGTTGGGCTGAGGAATTATATGATGTTTTGTTCCCTAAGCATATGAAAGCAGAGCAGGATTTTCATTATTGGGCTGGAATTTAGAGATACATAAATATAAGTTGAGATTTTTCACACATTCACTGTATGTACAAGGGGTCACTCTGGGATGTCAGTGCCATTTTAGTCAAACTTCCTCTCTGCCAAGCATGATCTCTAGTATAGGATTGTGAACTAATTCACCCTTTCCTTCCTCTGTTGTTAATCATCTTTCTGGAGGGTTCCTGGTAGTTGAATCACTGATCTTTGTATGTCAGAGGTTCTGATGTTAGTCAACTGTGGACACGATGCCAAGAACTTTCAGAGGACATTCTTGCATCGCTAGAGTGTAGTTAACAGATGATTTAGGTTAGTATTATCTGGTTATGTTATATTTGTCTTCTGACTCATCCATAAAAGTTCATAGATAAGTCATTCTTGTCTAATTCTAATTAGGTAGTGCAGCAACTCAACCAGTTTCCTTCCTTTCTCCATCTCTCTCTATATCCTCCCATTTTGTTTACTGCCTCATTTGTTTCCTTGTTCCGTGATAAAATATAATCAATGGTGATGAGCCAAGTATTTCCTTTTATCCCAGTTTCCTTTTCTTATCATTTTCTCCAGGCTGAGTTTTGAACAATGATTTTTACACTGTTAATTATTCTGAAACATCTTGGATGGCAGGCGAGTTGCCAATTTATGCTTCTTCGGATGAGCGAATTGTGGAGTTGCAGGGAGAGGCGTCAAAGGTTCTTAAAGCTGTAGAAGCAGTAGTTAGACACCTGAGGAAATTCTTGGTTGATCATAGTGTTCTTCCTCTTTTTGAGAAGAGCGTAAGTCCTCATATGCTGAGTTGTACTTTGTGTGCACCTCATATGCTGAGTTGCCTATATTTTTCTGCATTTAAGTACTAATTTTTTCCCAACCATTAGTGCAATAATGCAGCCCAACAAGATCGTGCATCTGAGACTTGGAGTGACAAGTCAGTACTGCATACTGCTCCAACTGGAATGACAACTGAGTATCCACTCTCCTCAAAGAGAGAATCACTTTACATTGATCGTGAGAGTCAGTTGGAGCCCCAGATTGCACGCTCTGGAGTTTCACTCTATGGACAAGATCCCTCAATATCTGCGATCCGGTCAGCAAGATTTGGTCGTGCAGGCGCTCCTATTGTCACTCAGGTAACTTCTTCTCTATCTATTTGGTCTTTAGTTAAATTTGCCTGATTTGTTGCAAAGCTCTCTTGTAATGCTGATATGTATGAAACCTAGATTTGCCTGAAGCATTATTTGATAATTCTTGAATATCATTAACTTTTTAGGGCTCATTTGGTATTTTAGGCACCAATGGGGTGCATTGGCCCATTTATTTAGCTATTTCTCTTTCTTTTTATATAAATAAACCTAGAAGTAGCATATTTAAAAGGACTTATGCTATTAAAAACGTCTTATCTGCTGTATTAAAAGCATGGCATCTATTCATCAACAAATTTCTACCAGAAGTGCGCAATATCTTCATAATTCTTCCTCTCCTTCATACAAAACCTTCATAACCAGAAAAAGAAGGATAACAAGTAACTAGATTTGGGTGAAGATATGCCCGTTTCTTTACGAGCCTGACTCAATAAGTAGATGCCTAGAGTCTAGATAATGACTCTACTCTACATACTAAACTCCATGAGTTGGCCTAATATTGACCGGTCCATTGTAGAAAGTAGAAGAATGTGATCCTGCTTGTCAGGGAGTGATTATAATTTACCTTCATGGACGTATTTTCCAGCCCTTCATCGTATATTACTGATGCAGATCCCTGATATGCACCATGTTGATAGTTGCCATCATTTTTAGGCTTATTTTACAGCAAGAATGCCTTAGAAATTATGAGATGTTTTGTACTTCCTCATTTGTGCATCCTTACATACTTTGTGCAGCATTTCACTTTGGTTCTTAACGCCTTGGCTAGTTTGGGTAATTGGGAATTGCTTTTCTCAAGGATCTGTCAGTACATTGGTCGGGGTTGACCATAAGATGACGAAACACTCATTATCATGCAAATGGGAAAATATAAGAAAGGCACAATGAAAAAGTTGCGTCTTCCATTTGCCCCTTTTTGGATTCACCTGATATATATGCTTGCACTCTGTTGGGTGAAGTTCTCAGTACTGGCCTAGTCTATTAGGCTAAATTCTGCGAATTCCACTCTTCTCCTTATCTTGTCTACTGCAAAATTGTGATGGCGCTGCCATTTCCCTGACAATAATTAAAAAGCAGTAGCTCATTTTCGCAGCTCTCCCTTTCTAAACATGTTTTTATTTCTTGGGTTTCTGGTTCGACATATGATGTCAGGATTATTTTGTATATTTCTATGGTGATATTGGAATATTCTCCAGTTCTTTCCTCTGTAACAAGAGCAAAAACACAGGCCCACCACACACATGCAATCGTACACACTACTCTCTCTCTCTCTCTCTCTCTCTCTCTCTCTCTCTCGTAGATGTGCTCATCAGGCATGCCCACCTTAATGTCACTTCCAAATTGCTTTGCCGCATTTTCACCTGAATCCTCATTAGAAGCATCTCTGAAGTGCTTAAGGATTGTTTTGTTATGACATATGACCTCCAGATGCTTTGGTAAATCTCAGTTTCTTAGTTGATGTACTTTTTGTTGGTCTTCAGAGTGAATCACTGCTTGAAAATTCTGGCTCTTGCTCTTATAAACTTTGATGCTTAAGTTAATGTCTAGACATGGAGTTGTCCAGACTCTTTATGGAAGGAATTTGCTAGCTGATAAGACCAAATGGAGCTTTTTCTGTGCTCTTCTATGTGGCTTAAGGTTTAGATTTCTGGAAAATCTAAGATTATAATGACTAGTGAGCTACATCTACTGCATAATAAATTCAATCTTTGGCTGGTTGAAAAAGTAAAAACTTTGAGTTCATATTCAAGTCAGTAAGTGTATTGCTGGATTGTTTAATTGTTTTCTCCTGTTTTAGGTTGTGCAAACAATGCAAATACCACTGACTTATGCTGAGGACATCATCGGCATTGGTGGGGCTAACATTGCATATATTCGTCGAACTAGCGGGGCCATATTAACTGTGCAGGAGAGCAGAGGACTACCCGATGAAATAACCGTGGAAATAAAAGGCACTACATCTGAAGTTCAGACAGCACAACAACTGATTCAGGTAAGTGGCACATGAATTTTAGCTGCTGTTTTATTCTTTAATTAACTTGTATTTGGTCTTTAAGTTTGCTCACATTAATGAAGTTGTTCTTTTTGAAAAGGCGTGCATATAGCATGTTAATACAATGCTGTCTAATTGTGGTCGATATATCTTGTATAGAACTACTGTATGGTAAATTTGGCATGTATGTGCCTATTTATATAATATAAACGCTCTTTCTTTTTGCACCAGCTGTGATCCTGTGAAATTCCTCTTTAAAATCTGCTCGGCCTGTAGAAATCGTGAAAGCCCAACCATGTCGATGTTGTCTATTGCTGTTTCCTTTGTTCTTTTGTCTTGTGTTCTTATATAGAGCTTTTGGAATTTGAAAGATCACATAAATCGTGATTTGATGACCTTTCAATTGTTCGAGTCAAATAATATGATGGTGTCAATTGTAAGACTAAATCGATTCATTTGTCTGCAGGAATTCATTAACGGTCATAAGGAGCCGGTCACCAGTAGCTACGGCAAGATAGACAGTGGATTGAGGTCATATTCTCAGTTGGGCGATACATCTTACACGTCTTCGTCGTTCTCATCACAGCCGTATGGAGGTTACGGTTCTAGTTTAGGAGGCTACAGCAGCTTCAGGCTTTGAAATGTTGGATCGAATTTGCCTTGTTGCTTTCCTTATCGAATCTTGTCTTCCCTTCGATATTTATAGTTTTGGGGAAGTATGTGTAAAGTTCACTCGAGCCTGTTCCTCTCTCTCTATAAAAGATCAGTAGCTGTAAAACTACTAGCGACCACTTTGCTATCGTGTTAAAGCGTAGTTACGCACGTCGGGTTTGTTATTTAAGCATATGAAGGGGATGAGCTTCAGAGTAGTATACTGCGGAACTTATTCTTGAGCGGTTCAAGGCAATTTTATGCGAATTCAAGTTTCTCCATTTTGATGTTCTGTGTCGATCATGTCTCTCGATCTGCTCTAAAGGGGCTGTTTGATTTCTTGCTCTCTGTCGAGTCTCGAACCTGGAAAAACGTTATTCCGGCCTCCTTGTGGTAGATTTTGCAAAATGGAAGTCACGACCAGAAGTAGTAGGAGTGGAGATGCGATATCAAGAAAGAAGAAGCTACCGCGCCCGTTGTATTCATCGGTAATGTTCTTTTTTGCCTTCTCCTCTCTCTGTGGTTTGCAAAGACAAGCTGAGCAACGGACTGAGTAGTCTCGACTACGAGTAAACTATACTAACTGAACTTGCAATACATTAATTGCGGCACGGATAAGAATACTGAGGAATAATGACAACAGACGCACGGGGAGAGAGGGACGCAGGCAGAAAAACTTGCAATTCCTAGAAACCTTTCTGGGGCAATCTTCTCGTGCCATTCGATCACATGCTCATAGGGCTCTGTGGGTCATTAAGCGCCGCGATGGCCGTCTCGATCTGCATCTTCAGATTCTCTTTCTCATTCTCATCTGCCTGCATTGAACGAACGAACACATAAACTGGTGAGATAACCCTAACTTCTTACCTCGTATTGACCTAACTCGATCTAAATCATCGAAATCAAAGCGTGTCAAAGATTGGATCCAGATGACCTGCCAAAGCACCCAGCAAACAAAGAGCGAACGAGACACGATGTTGGTATATTAGACTTAGGAGCACCTCCTCCTAATGTCGTGTCATTGAGTCAATCATTGAATCCTCAAAGCCTTCAATTATTGAAGACACACGTATCTTTCATTAGGGCCTCTAAAGATTATCACAAGTTGGCTTATTTATTTAATGACTACGTGGCCAAGCATCAAAGTCTAATTTTTAGATTATTTTCGGCTTCTATTGTTATACTCGCACCATCCAGAAATTGAGTCCCCCAGTTAAAAAAATAAAATAAACGGAAGTATTTTCATATAATCAAAATGTTTTCATCGATTAATTATTTCGAGCAATACGAGTGATTATTTTTAGAAAAATATTTTGAAAATCATTCTCTCTTTTTTTTTTTCAAAATAAATGGGTCTGAAATTCGATCGCAGCGTCAGTGAATCAACAACAATAATGAAGACAAACAGAGGGAAGATGATTGGCCTACACATCAGGCTAGGTCGTCCAAAGATGAGGGCACCCGAATGATGAGGAGAACGTGCGAGAAAAAGAAGCGTGCGAAAGAGACGTAATAACCCGCGTGGGGCTCGAGAGTAAAATTAATAATAGTGGAATCATACAATCATAATACGACCAAAAAGTTTTTTAATTAAAAAAAATGACCAAAAAGCTAAAAAAATTAGAAACACGTTTCGATACGCGTTTCGAGGACTAGCACAAGCTCCTCGTGCGCATTAATATATAATCACATCATATTATTATGATTTTATGCCGATGGAACTTTAAATCTAACATTAATATTATATATCCGCCTTCCTTCTTACTAACAAATAAAACACACATCATTCTTCCTTCTTTGCTAATTTAAAAAAGATTATTGGATTTTCCTTAAGGGAAAGTCGCAAGTTTACTTTCTCTCTCGAGCGTGACCTGGTCATTGTCGCTACCATGTGAGGCTCGCGAAAACTCGTTATTTTTTTCGGCAAAATCTTCGATGATCATCGTTGTCAAGCACCCAAGAGTTTTTTTTCGTTTTTTTATTTCTTTTTGCCAAATGCAACAAAAAAATTTCAAATCGGTTGACTTTGAAATCACGACCCATCTCTCTTGATTTTGAGATAAATTTGTAAATAGCAATTAACTTTCAAGTATAATGGGATATCATGAAAAAGAAGAAGAAAATAATATGTTAGTGATCATGATGCAAACTAAGATGGTGAAATTTAACTATTGCATGATTTTTTAAACGATATAAATTGGCAATCCTAATTTTGTCTTTAAATTCAGAGGTCGGTTCATGTATTATTTGATGATAAAAACATGGGAGTTTTGATTTGGAAATTAATGTATAAATAGATGTGTAATTGTTGTATATATAGGGGACAAAAAATTAATGATTTGGAAGTTCAAGATCTCTTTATCAAAAACAAAAGACAGAAAAGAAAGAAAACAGCTACGGACCTTTACTTTTTTTTTTTTTGGTCGAAAGCTACGGACCTTACTTAACAGGTGGAAATCTGCATAAAAAAATAAATGTTTCTATACCATCATCGTTAATTGAGCCGCTTGAAAAGTAACACTAGATTATAAAAAACACCGTGGAAATTATTTTATGTTGGGTACTAAATCCGTGGTGTCACGATACCTTGGAAGGTGCCCACACCAAATTCATATTCTATTTAAAAGTCAGAAAAGGACAAAAACGTCGTTTATAACGATGTTTCTCGGGCCGAGAGAGAGCATCAAAGGATGTTTTTTTTTTTTTAATGATCCTTGGAGAACAGATCTCGATCTCTCGATAGCCGTCAGATTACAAAAGACAGTAAATCACACGCATCGATTATAATTTTTTTCAAATTTTTTGCATTACCATAACCTAAACGAACGACGGAGTTTGCAGAGGAAAAGGAGAAAAACCTCACCGTTTGAAAGTGGAAATGTATATGATGAGATGGGGCCATATTAAAACCCTTTTTCCAGAAGGAATTAACTTTTGTTCTTTACCTCTGTGGCCAGTTAGCATCGGACCATACGAAATAAATTATTGAAGTTTTTGCCCTAAATACATCCTATCATGGACCTCCCACCACTTTACTATAAAGTAAAAGTCATTACCTGTTACCAACTCAATGGACCCACCATCCTCCATTAATAATCCCCTCCTATGAACGAGACCCGTGTAGAAATTTTTTATTTTATTTTCTTCTTGAGTTTGGTATTACATATATATACCCAACCAAAAAAAGAAAATTATATATAGGGCTAATTCCAAAAATATTGTTTGAGCTAGATTTGGGATTTTAGTGAAAGTTAGTGATTTTTATGAGATAAAAAAAAGTTTGGCCGATAATTATCACTCAATATAAAATTGGTACTTTTTTAGGATTGGGCTTATCTATATATTTTTATTGGTTATGAATGTGTAGATAAGGAAGAGGTTGTTGGTAAGGTGATAATTAATTCCCTGTGCTTTTATTAGTGGTTTTGTTTCTTTCCGGGCAATACCTGCATTGTCTTTACATCAACAATGCCACTTCTATTATAAGTGTCCCCACTATGTTTCTAAGAAGTTGTGGCAAGGATGTGTTTTTATTTATATTTCGGCTTTTAAATTGGACATCATCATAGGTTAATGGACAAAAGAGTATGCTCGGCTAACAAAGTTCACTACTCTTTTTTCTATGTTTAAAAAATTGATATCGAATAAATATTAAATCTTTCTCCCAATTGAGGAAATTCTCTTTTTTTTTTCTTGACACGAGTGAGTTGGGATTTCTTGTGATGTGACGTACCGTATTATGCCACAAACCCTTTTGTTCTTAGAATGGCAAATTGATGCATCGGAAAATTGGTGACAATAACTCATCATCAAACTCACTCAGGACATTTTCAAAAAAAAAAAAAAAAAAACTCAATCGGGTTTCGAGCTACCCGTTACTATTTTTTTGGGGGGGGGGGGGTGGTGCATTATTTTCTATACTTTTTTTTGTGATAGTTATAAAAAGAATCCTCAACTCTGCTCTTCATATTAAATATTCTCCTTACATTTCAGAACCTACATTTTGCGTCTCACCATATTATATTTTCAAATCGCGAAAATGAAATCCAATGTTGAGAAGGGGGATAACTCGGGAAAGAAAATGGAAACTTGGGAAATTGTGAGTGGATCGAAGATGCAATTTAAAATCCGATTCAAAAGGTGAGGGCGGTAATTGTGGGTTTTGAAATACGGGGAGCAAAATTAAGAATTTAATAATTTACCCAAACTTTTTTTAGCACCAAGACATTATTAAACTATGACGTCATCCCTCCTCTATCAGACTTTCTAAGTAAACCATCAACGATCTACTTTAATTCATGGTTAGAAAAACAGAGGAGAAGAGTGCCCGGGTCGAGATTCGAATTCAAAGACAAAGTTGCCCCAGGCTAATATAGCGTGAAAAATTAACCAATTAAATAGGGAAAAAAGAACGTAATTCAATATTCACAGCCCTGATTTTTTTAAAATTTTTACCCCGCTTTTTTATCATTGGAAATCAAAACACTTAAGCGGGTCGATTCGGGTCGATTCATTTCTCTTTTTTAAATCCGAAATTCTAAAGAGAGAGAGAGAAGAGGAGTGACCTCGATGAAGACTGTCTTCAAAAGCCGGCCAGAGAAAGCAGTGATGTTGGCAGTGATGATCTTGAGCTTCAGAGACTCGAACACTTCGCACAGCTTCACCATCGTGTCCGTTCTTTTACTGCATGTCAAGCTCACCACCACCGTCTTCTCTTCCATGTATGTGATCCTCAGCTGCCATATTATATTTCGTTATTGACCCAATCAATTCGATGAACATCGTCTTACATGATCCAACCATATCTTATTTCTTATTAATGTTCGGCTCCTCTGTCGTCCCACCCAATCATATAATAATCCACACAAGGATTTCAATCGGGGGAAACTCTCTGATTCGCATCTCTATCGAGACAGCTCACTGAGCTTGGCAAGAAATTAATCTAATCGTTCTTGTTCGAGACTGAAAAAGAGCAAGCCCAGGATTGGAATCGGTCTGGACGGCAACGTAGAGATCGCGATATGGAGAGAGATGAGGGAGAGGAGAGATTTACTTCGAGGACTTCGATGGGGGAGATTCGGGAGCCCCCGGAGTCGTAGAACGCGTCGGTCCTCTTCTTCTTGGATCTCAAGTAGGCCGGAAGATCTTGATCGCAGTCGTAGCCGCCGGGGCCCTTCTGCAACTTGCCGGATTCTAGCTCCAGGATCTCGGCTTGGATCCTTCTCTCTTGTTCGTGCAAGTCTTGGATGTAGTCAATCGCATCCTTGATGATCGATGCCTTATCCATCTGAACCCAAAAATTAAAAGCACCACACCCGTTAGATTTAACCCAGAATTAGACATGACCAGAGTCTCAAGTTTAGCAAAAACAGAACAACATCAGTGACAACATCACTCTCGAGTCTCAATTATTGAGAGGGAGAAAGGGTTGGGGTTGGACCAAAATTTCATGTGCAGTTTTGTAATTGTAATTGATTGGGTCGTGGTCATCACCTTGCTAATGTTGGGCACCACCGCCCTCAATGCAAATAGCCTCTCGTTGAGCTTCTTCCTCCGGTTCCTCTCCGACACGATGTTCTTGGAAGCCGCTGTGGACGCCGCCCCGTCCGGGGAGCTCGAGTCGTAGTACCCAGAGATCGCCTCGTCTACCCAACTGCCACAATTTTCCAAACTTTTCTGATGTGATGATCTAGGCAAAAGTATAGGGCAGGCACCAATTAATCGATCGGGTGTGCTCTCGTGTTGTGTATCAAGACAGAGAGAGAAGGAGAGAGAGAGAGAGAGATGAAACCTGTCAAGCTCTTCAGTTTGGTAGAACATGTTCGTCTCCCAATAGTTCTGGTATTCCTCAACATTGTTTTCCATGGTGTTTTGTTTGTGTATCACACGGAGAGAGAGAGAGAGAGAGAGAGAGAGAGAGAGAGAGAGAGAGAGAGAGAGAGAGACTATGAGGTGGTTGCTAGAAAATGGAGGGCAAGCTTTATATATACGCACAGAGAGCGAGCAATACGCCAGGGAGGCGGAGTTAAGGATGGTACCATCATCCCACAGCTTTCATCACGTGGTAAATTAAATTTGTTTCTTGATTGCTCTCCTCCTCCTCCTCCTCCTCCTCCTGCTTTCGTCGTCTTCCGTCTTCTTCTTCTTCTTCCATGAAACATCGTCAAAAAAAAAGGAAGGGCAAAATTTCGGACAGCCAATGGAGTTTTAGTCTTCGAGGCCGCGTGGACGGTGGGTGGGGACATGGATTGCAATTCACATGTCATCATATGTTCTCCCCAGGGTACTAAGAAAGAGAACATGAATGCTGTGTTGTTGGATTTTCCCGAGTCCCACGTGGGTAAGCCCCACTCGGTGAAGCCTATTGGCTCTGGCTCGGGATGCCACTCGAAGTTTTGATTGAGATTTTGACGTGTCGTTTCCTTGACTCCTTGAATCATGGAGCTCCGTATACGCCGTGTGGGCAAACCGTATTCCCCCAGAAATTATGCGGGAGCGTGTATTGTATTTGTGTTGTATACCATCTCGATATGCCCGCCCCTCACGCGAAGGCTAATTGGCTAAAAGGGTTTCATACGGAACGGAGACATGTAATGGACTATATTGAAGTGTGAAAGGAAGTGCGACTGAAACAAATTGGAGAAATGGGAGCAAGCACGCGGGGCCGTGTTTGATAGTGATCAAGAGTTTGTAGACAGATTACAAAGCTTTAAGGGAAAAGTACACCGGTAGTGTTGAAAGTTATTACGAAAATGCAATTGAGTCCTAAAACTATAAAAAAATGTAGGTAAGATCTAAAACTTGTTAAATTAATACAATCAAATTCCTCTGTTAACTGCGTTTAATTTATTTGACGGAAAATACTAACGTGTGCTCCCCTTGTCGAAGTTAATGAAATGACTTGATTGTATCAATTTGATTAGTTTTAGGACTTAATTGAATTTTTTCGATAAATGTTAGGACTTTTGATGCACTTATCTCAATATTTTATTATTTACTTTCAGGTGAATAATAGGGGAGTCATGAATCGACTCAAATGGAGTTTTTTTACATCATGTCTTGAATATTGATCTTTAACTCAATCGCACTCCACATGAATGGCAATCTGATTTTCACTTCAGTGGGGCTTTTTTTAGCAACCATACCATGTTTGGACCCAATACAAAGTCCTTGCAATGGATTGGAACTTAACAATCAAGAGAGAGAGAGAGAGTGAATTGGTTGTCGTAGCATTTTTAATATATGTTAGTGCAAAATAACATGTAGAGGATGAAAAGTATTTATAGAGTTATGCAGAACAAATATCTTCAAGAAACATGAATGTAAAGAAATCAACAAGGTTGGAATCTACTTTCGCAATCCACTCGGCCTACTTCACTCTTCCGAATTTAACGACCCAACAAGAAGGTTGGAATCTACTATCGCAATCCTTGAAGACTCTGACAGCATTTGCAAATGAAGTTGCCTGTTTACGAGGGACTGTAGCTCGCTCTACGAGCACATAAACTTCACTCCAAGCTCCTTAAAGACTTTTAAGTACTTTTTATCGATCAATCGTTTTTTACATCAATTAATCATTTAAAAATATATAATGAGTATCCAATTTTTGTCATTTGACCTTTTTGTTATCAGGATCCTTTTCCTTTTGACTTAATTGTGTTTCTCCTTAAAATATCTTATTAGTTTTATTAATATATTCATTGATTTATAAAATGCTTATTCTCTAATATTATTAGTGATATTCATTTCGATACTAATTTTCTAATCAGTTTCTTTTTTCTCCATTTTCTTTATTTTATCATTTACACAAATCAGCAGTAAAAAATCGATTTCTTTAAAAAAAAAATGGGATGAAAATACACACTTACCCCATAAACTCAAGTGCATAGCAGATGCTAACGAAAAATAGCACGGAAAATCAACGGTCGTAACAAAACGGAAATTGAGGGGATGATTATAATAATCAACAGTGTAAGAGGAAACGTGTGCTCATCCCAAAGTTTCGAGGAATCCTGTGCAGTTTCCCCCGTGATGGGAAAAGAACATAAATATCCTCACATAGTTGTACTTTTTCTCTTTATTATCTGAAAAAGAGATGAAAATCGTTCTAAAGGGGCTCATTTCCTTAGGACATGACGTGGACGTAGATAATTTAATACATTTAGAAAGTGAAATATTCCAAAAAAAAGAAACATCTATTTTAAAAATCGGCATCCTTTCTCTCCTCACTTCGGGTTTCGTAGGATGAGAGAAGTGGCATATTAAGATCAAAACACAAGGCTCTAAAAAAAGGAAAAGACATTCTCCTCCACCAGTGGTCCAGTACCCCTTGAAGCCTAACCTTTCCGTCGTCATGCCCACGAATTATTAAAGACTATCAACCGCGAATTATTAGGGACAATGATAGTGTACCACCATTCATTGCATCTTGATGGTTCGAAAAAATAAGGGATAAGTGCATTGGAAATCTTAAATTTTATCACAAAAGTACAATTGAGTCCTAAAATTTTCGAAAAGTGCAATCAGATCCTAAAAATTTATCACGAAAGTGCAATCAAGTCCTAAAACTTTAAAAAAACGTACCAACAGAAGAATTTTATTGAACCAATTTGACAACTTTTAGGACTCAATTGCACTTTCGTAACAAGTTTCAGGGCCTGATTGCATTTTTTGAAAGTTTTAGTACTCAATTGCACTTTCTTGACAAGTTTTAGGACTTTTAGTGAAGTTATCCTAAAAAATAATCCATTTATAATTAGCCAAATGATATTTTAGAGAATTAAAGAACATTCCTGTCGTCCTTATCACGATTTCAAAACTTGTTAAGAAATATGGCAAGAGAGCCAAAAAAAGAAAAGAAAAGAAAAGAAATTGATGTGAACTAAAGATATTTATATGAAGGGAAAAAACCACCAAAAACCCCAAACTTTGCCACCTGTGACACATTTACCCCGAACTTTTTTCTGTGACACCAAAAACCCCAAACTATGCTATTTGTGACATATTTACCCCAATGTATTTAGTCCATGGGCATTTTCGTCTTTTTTTCTTTTTCTTTTTTTTTCCTTTCCGGCGAGGGGGGACCTCGCCGGCGAGGGTCGACCTCTCCTGAGTCGGGCGAGGGCCGCCCTCGCTCGCCCAGGCGAGGGCGACCCTCGCCCAACGCCGGCGAGGGTCGCCCTCACCGGATCCGCGAGCGAGGCGGCCTCGCCAGATCCGGCGAGGGCGACCTCGCCCACTCTCAGCGAGGCGACTCGCCCGACGCCGCGGCGAGGGTCGACCTCGCCCGAGTGGGGCGAGGGCCGCCCTCGCTCGCCCAGCGAGGGCGACCGCTCGCGCGCCGGCGAGGTTGCCCTCGCCGGATCCGGGCAGGAGTGGCCTCGCCGGCGTCGAGCGAGGGCGACCTTCGCCTGTGCGAGGGCCGCCCTCGCTCGCCCAGGCGAGGGCGACCCTCGCCCGACGCCGGCGAGGGCCGCCCTCGCCCGACGCTGGCGAGGGCCCCCCTTGCCGGATCCGGCGAGGGCAGCCCTCGCCGGAAAGGAAAAAAAAAGAAAAGGCAAAAAAGACGAAAATGCCCATGGACTAAATACATTGGGGTAAATGTGTCACAAATAGCATAGTTTGGGGTTTTTGGTGTCACAAAAAAAAGTTCGGGGTAAATGTGTCACAGATGGCAAAGTTCGGGGTTTTTGGTGGTTTTTTCCCTTATATGAACATTCCTGTCATCTGTATCACGGCCTTTTGTTCCTCTTGTTTATGTTCTCCGGATAATTTCAACTTTTGCTTCATGTGCATACGAAAGGATTGATCGAGTTGAAAGGTTTAAAAGGCCCGCGTTATTATTCAGAACAAGATTTACCAACAAAGAAAATTTATAATCAATAACGTAGTTAAGCACTTAGCGTCACCCATCATAATCAATTCCGTCCAATTTTTTACATTACGATGGCTGCTTGGTGTTTGACACGAGATGCTCATGTGATGTCCACGGGGCCTAATTAGCACTATGTTAGTATGTAGGTGCTGCGTCCGCCACACATAAACAAAAAGAATAATGTAATAGATAATAAAAACAAAAGATATTTAAAAACACATATGTAAGTAAAGAGTGGAAATTGTCCAAAAAGTCTTAAACCTATTATACGGCGACCAATTTAATCGTAAATCTTTCGATTGTGCCAATTTTGTCTTACACCCTGACGATTTGCCAATTTATTCCTTTCGGCCAATTTTGGCCGGAAATTACTGACATGGACGTTGGTTGTCCTATGTGCCACAGTCGGTAATGACGAGGACAATTTTTACAAATTTTCAATTTTTTGAAATATATCCTTGTTTTTTTCTTTTCGCTCTCGTCGGCCACCCCTCGCCCAAATTTGGCAAGGGCGAGGGCAACCCTCGCTTAGGCAAGGGTCAGGGCAGGTTGGCCTCACCTAGGCAACCCTCGCCCTCGTCGAATTTGGCAAGGGTTGGTGAAGGCCGTCCTCGCTTGGGCAATTGTTGCCCTGGCCAGATCCAACGAGGATCGCCCTTGCTTGCGGCCGATAAGCAAAGAATTGTTGGAGAAGTTGAGGATGTAGACTGGTGGAGAAGTTGACGTTCGACCCTAGCAATTTGAAGAGCTAAGTCTAGAACTCCCAGTGAAACGAGGATTGCGATCGTTCGCAATCGTTTGTGGCATGCCCCAATACTTGACAATGTGCTTCGAGAATAATCTAGCTGCCTCTTTAGCCCGTGTGAGTCGGACACCCTTTGGACTTGGGCAAGTTTATGATGAAGTTCATTGAGACACTTTTCTATTGACGCTTTGAGATGGAAAGCGCTCAAGAAACCCTGCAAGCGATCATTGTTCGAGGTTGTCTTGTTGGCACACAAGACATGTCTTCACATAAGCCTCAACATCATTGTGTAGGTGTGGCTAAAAGTACCGATCCTCCACAAGAGCCAATAT